GCAGGCGAACCGCAGCCAATCGTGCAAAGGCAAACAGAGATGGGATGCAAAAAACGTGGTCTTAACAAAGATGATACAAGAATAGCTTTGCTTCGCAACCCACATAGAAGAACCACAATCTGTACATGCACATGTAGAGTAAATGTGAACCTCATTTGCGGCACTGTCTATCTCAGCAGCCAGCAGCTGTTTTGGTAGGGTCCAATGGCAAGGTTTGCCAACATTCGGGGTACGAAAAACACGAAGTTCACTTATTCACTTCATACAAGTACACCTCAACACATTTTTCAGCACACCCATTTTTAGTGTTCGTACAATTTGCGGGTTCAAGGGTACAAAAGGCTTGGTGTTATAAACTGATGTGTAAGCCGGTTCACATCAAGTGCGAATGAGTACAAGTCAGTGCAGAGGAAATGGCACCGCAAATTTCGCAGCAACACTGACTCGCGCAGTATATACCAGCGCTTCAGGCCTCTAGAACCAGCTTTCCCTGAGAAGACATGCGTTACCCGGTGACGCAAACGAACGATGGCCAACAGGCGCCTAACGACATAAAGGGAGCCTTACAATGGCCCTGATGATAGCATGACATGGACTCAAAATGCATAAACAGTCCACAAAGCCTTACATGCTACTGCATTCGAAGTATTTAGGGCTGGTTAGTGCGGGTGGGCTGTGGTTTAACAGAGTAAATTAGACGGGGCATTAGCAATGTGGATGGAAGAATTGTTCGTAACATCATCCTCGTCTGGTGAGATAGTATGTTCACAACGTTTCGACCACTTCACCCTCCGGCTGTCATTTGGGTGTCATATGACCGCGCAGACCAAGCGCCCGAAAGCCCCAATAACTACCCCTCCGACCGTCACCAGGTGCTGTTGAGTCCTGGGAGGGACGGTATTGTGTTCGGCTTCCAGCCACGTATCCGTCACAATGTGAAAGATTTCCTCGGCATTGCTGGGATTCGAACCGGGTCTTCTGATTACGAGTCCTGCGGCCTACCGCTCGTCGTTCCCGGTAATTTCTACAGTGGAGCGCTGGACTCGTAATCAAAAGGCCGCGGTTCGAATCCTTTTTTCATGACTCAATGACATATTAACTGCGGCCGAAAAACTACATGGCCGGACCATTGTATACATTCTAACACACTAAACGAGGACGATAATACGATCATGTCATCCATAAAACAGATGGGCTCCCTTCACACTGCAATATATGCCGACCACGAAGTTTTTTTTACTAAAAAAGCTTATATACTTTCCTGGGCAGTGGCCGGCAAAGCCTGAGTACAACTAACAGCGCCTGATTTTGTTTTACTGCTTGCGCGAGTGGTAATCATCCCACCCTTTGCTATTTTCCCAGAACGGTCTGCTCGAATTTATCTTCTAAAAATGGTAAACCCAACCTAACACCACTTTAGCAGTGTTTGTCAGCAAATGATAGCAAATGTAAAGGACGTTCTATTCGTTACGACAATTTTGAGTCGAGAATTTTCTCGGGGGAGGGGTGGGCAATCCTTGAGATTTGCGCAAGAGGGCACTGCGGGTTTCGTATCCTAATGAAAGAGCCGGATCCAGTCCTAAGCTACCCTAGAGGTCGCCAAAAACAAACAAACAAACTTTTAGGCTAATTTCAGCACCTTCGTGCTGAAACGCAATGTTCGTGGCTTGCATGAGCCTCCCCGGCACCTCTCTGCGCCTCCAGTTCGTTACTTCCGCGGCACGACTGAGTCCAGCCTGCGCCGCCTCCCGGGCGTGTTTGTGTGTATTGCTGTCGGGCAAGAGACGAGCCAGCGGACATGGCCGGCCGAGCGGCAGCCGGGCGACACAGGCGAGCGAGCGATGACCTGCATCGGCCGGAGAAAGGCGCGCCCGGACACACGCGCGTGCGTGTATTTATAGCGCGGGAGAACGGCCACTCGGTTAGGGATCATTGGCCGGAGTGGCGGCGGCCGGTCATGCGCCGCGCCCGAAATAAATACGAAAGTGTTGTCCTGCGGGCCGACTTTCTCCGGTGGCGACGGCCGGCGGCGCGGGGTCATCGCCTGGCACCGGTCGCCGCCCTCGACACGCACAGGCCGTCGGCCGGCGCCAGCCGCAGGGCCGCCGCCGCCGCGCGCGCAGCAAACATCACAGTTCATCACGCGGAATTAGGCCACCGCTCGCTGTCTCAATTGGATAACGAGGCGGAACAATGGGCCTTCGCGCCATGGACGGCTGGCGACGCGCCGGCTCCCCCCTCCCCCCCCCCTCAGCCAGACAGGGTGCGATTGGGCCGGGGGGACATCTGCGACACACGCGTGTGCCCAAGACAGGGGGACCGGGCTAGCGGCAGCGCGAGCGCGGCTGAGCCGCTCACTAGTCATGTTCGGCCCACGATCCGTTTACATATATTCCCGATGGGACGTCTGTGCGATCGCTTGCTTTTCTTGAGAACACAGGCATCGGCTCAAATATATAGCTGCTAGTCTAGCTTGTTTGGATATGGGCGTGTGCAAACTCCGAGATGTCGCATTCCCTACCCTACAGCGGGACAGCGGAGCCACTAGAGACCCCGTTGACCCTGTCCCCGATTCCCTGCTGAAACAGTTGCCGATTTCCGTCGCCATCTGAGGGGGTGCGTGCTTAATCACCGCTCGATCTGTCGTGAAGCGCCGCAGCAGGCGGCGAGCCATATCTCAGAGTAGACGGCCGCGCCGCCGGCGCCACTCAGGGCGCAGACGGGCCGCGCCAGCCCGCCAGAGCCGCGCAGCCAGCCAGGAAGCAGCCCTTCACAGCAGTCGTACGCCTATTGCAGCCATTTCCTGTCCAGTGTTCCGGTCCCATCACCGGACAGGCCGTAACCTCAGACAGCTGTAGTGACGGACGACACCCGGGCCGGCGCCGCGTCAGTGTCCGGTCCCATCACCGGACAGGCCGTAACCTCAGACGGAAGCTGTAGTGACAGAAGACACCCGGGCTGGGGTCGCGTCAGTGTCCGATCCCATCACCGGACAGGCCGTAACCTCAGACGGAAGCTGTAGTGACGGATGACGCCCGGGCCGGCGCCACGTCAGTGTCCGGTCCCATCACCGGACAGGCCATGATCTCAGACGGAAGCTGTAGTGACAGAAGACACCCGGGCTGGGGTCGCGTCAGTGTCCGGTCCCATCACCGGACAGGCCGTAACCTCAGACGGAAGCTGTAGTGACAGAAGACACCCGGGCTGGGGTCGCGTCAGTGTCCGGTCCCATCACGGGACAGGCCGTAACCTCAGACGGAAGCTGTAGTGACAGAAGACACCCGGGCCGGGCCGCGTCAGTGTCCGGTCCCATCACCGGACAGGCCGTAGCCTCAGACGGAAGCTGTAGTGACGGACGACACCCGGGCCGGCGCCGCGTCAGTGTCCGGTCCCATCACCGGACGGGCCGTAACCTCAGACGGAAGCTGTAGTGACGAAGACACCGGGCCGGGGCGTCAGTGTCCGGTCCCATCACCGGACAGGCCGTAACTCAGACGGAAGCTGTAGTGACGAAGACACCGGGCTGGCCGCGTCAGTGTCCGGTCCCATCACCGGACAGGCCGTGATCTCAGACGGCAGCTGTAGTGACGGACGACACCCGGGCCGGGCCGCGTCAGTGTTCGGTCCCATCGCCGGACAGGCCGTGATCTCAGACGGCAGCTGTAGTGACGGAAGACACCCGGGCCGGCGCCACACCAGCGACACGTGTGGCGCCGTCCTCTCCGTCTCAGCCCAGTGCCCTGCTGCCTGCTTAAAGACGGCCCGCCCCAGGACAGGATCCCCACGACGACCGCAAGCAGCCGTCCGTAGCACAATCGGCCCGGCCAAAAATCGGTCCAAACCAGAACCGCCCAGCGCTGACCGAGCGACGCCCCGCCTCAGTCGTAAAGCACGTGGCACGCTCCCCAGCTGCGCTTTCCGTTCGGATGTGACCCACCACTACTGACCCTCTATGCTTCAAAGGCAGATCACAGCAAAGAACGGACTATCCGTCGCAGACATCGCATTCTTGCCCACCCGACAACCTGTCCAGGTTTGACGCAAGTCTGAGCGGGAGGTAGCCGAGACAGGTAGGTGTCTACTTTGGGTTAAGTTACGCAATATGCGGAGTCACTCACATTAAGTAGGTAACAGCAATGACGCTCCCAGTCAGATCAAGTGAAACTGAGATGGCATTACTATGAATGCATCCGTACAATCACCACATTGTCCTTTATTTACTATTTGAGGCACCACACCGCCCCCAAAAATCGCTCCTGCGCAACACATTCCAGATCATGCGGGGCGGTAAATTGTGACATCCGGCCCGATCCTAATCCAGACATTGGGAGAAAGCTCAGGTCCAATCCCATCAGACCAGTGAAGGACAATGCCGTCGACATTGCGACGTCAACTACAAGCGTGCTCGCATTCGTGACAGCATTTCCAGCGCGGCAAACGCTACAGAGCAAGCCGAGGCTCCGTCGGTCCGTCCACTGACGGCAAAACTCGCCGCAGTGGCGTACAGGCTAGATCAATATGCCGGTCGGGGTTTTCACGCGTCAATACATATGCCGATTCCAGCCATTAAAACCCGATTCCAGCCATTAAACGCGACGTGTTCGGACTGCATGCCAGATGGAGAGGGGTGACTTGGAAACCCAGCGCAACGCAATCACCGAAGGTGCGGGGAGATGATGGCTTAGAAGCCCTGCGCATTGCCATCACCAAAAGTGCAGTGTGTTAAGCGCCGCAAACTGATTTTGATCGCTGACCGCCGCGCTGATGTAACAAATGACTAATTCCGATGCCTGTGGGATAGACACCAACGGCATGAAAGCGAAGGATCACGCGCAGCACATTCTTAGCAAAGAAATGCAGTGCCGTTAATCGATAACGATCTTCGCTCAAGAACACTTCATACACAGTTGGGGTCTACAACAATGTACTCCAGTGTTTCACCAGCTCCACCGTAATTCAAGGCCACCCCGGCGTATTTGGAGTAGGACGACCCTATTGCGTCACCGGTGTTTCGTCATCGGTGATGATGCTCGTGAGAGGCTGCCTGCGGTCCGGAGGCGACGCGGCGGACCGGGGGCGCAGTGCCGGCGGCCGACCGTCCTCTGCTGGGACGGAGCCACAGCCCGACCTGGCCAGGCCGACGGCCGCCCCTCCCGTCCTGCACGCGGGTCAACGCACACCCTCCCACACATTCTCTATGGTAATAATCGACGGTCCAGGGACGGCCGGCGCCGGCGTCCCAGGGCCGGCGGCAGGCGACGCCTCCCCACCGCAACCGTCACACCAGGCAAAGGCCAGGCAGCAGCTAGCCACGGCACCAGAGACATCGCGAAAGGAGCACGAGGAAGGACAGCCCAGCGATCCAGGCGGCGAAAGTGAAGCGGACCTGGGGCGCAGTTTCGCAAAAAGAGTTGGGGGGGGGGGGGGGGGCTGAGCGATGAAAAATGACGCAACCTATCGCCAAAATAATCCAACAAACCGCTTGTTCCTGCAATTTCGCCTTTTCTCTTGAAGTTGGGGGTTGGAGCCCTCCCCTACTGCTAGGAGACTACACCACTAAAGCGGATATTTGCGAGTTTGTTACCAACACGACTGGTTGCCACTGTCAACGTTATTATCACTTACAATACGACTGACGGCGCTAAAGCAGAGCGCGTTTTGTGCCGACTGTGTGTTGCGTGCAGCACGCTCGCGTGGCCAGCCAAGGCGCCGTGAGCGTGATTACGGGAAGACAGCACATATGCTTGAGAGCAGGCAGCGAACTGCAGCGGTTACCATGACAACAGGCGGGCCAAGGTCGCGTCTGTTGAAAGGCCGCTGCCTGAATGAGAGATAACGTAGATTGAGAGCTGCGGCATAGGCGTGATTTGGTTGAAGGATATGGGGGTTGTTGATCATAAATGCGCCACCGAATAGTGTGAGACGCGGTAGAATCCACCAGCGATCTTACTTGCACACCAACTTTAATATGTGTGCACACAGGCGCCACTGTTCCTTTAAACACGCCGCTGGTTGGCAGTGCGGCAACGCAATGAGTGGATTGTCCCCGCGCGACGCATTGTTAGTAGAGCTACACGGTACATGTTTACAATCGCGATATAGATAGCATGCACGATGCGGTCTATTTTTGGAATTTGAAATCCAAAGCGTGAAAGGGGAATTTTAACGGATCGTTATGTCACATAACGGGGCACACTCACAAACACCGTGCCAATCGACAATCGCTGCTACAGATGGGATACATCCTCACGCCGCAGCACAACCAACAAGCAGGAATGCACCTGCCACGTCTATTTAACTCGTTTTGTGCCAGATTGCACCATCAGACGTCTATTCAACCAACCAACTGGAGTGAAGGCCAGTTGGATGATGCAGAAAAGTCCGCTCCGAGATACTCACCCCGGCTGTGCCGGATTTGAGACAGAGGACGACAGCGAGCCGGGCGGGGGGGGGGGGCGGGGGGGCAGGGGAGGACAGGGCTGGGCCTGAGACGGCAGCCGCCGCCGAGAGGGCCAGACGGACTACGGGCTGAGACAGTCCCGCCACACCGCGAGAGGGAAGACGCAGACCGGACCTGAGACAGTCCCGACCACCGGGCGGGAGGCAGAGGGAAGACAGCGGGCC